TCTTTCCTTCCCCTCCCTCCCCCCACCTCCCTCCCTTCCTTCCTTCTCCTCCCTCCCTTCCTTCTTTCCTTCCTTCCTTTTTCTTTCTTTCTTTCTTTTCTACTGTGTGTGTATCTCACTTTAAAATCCATGCACAGTAGCACATGTCTGTAGTCCTATCTACTCAAGAGGCTGAGGTGGGAGGACTGCTTGAGTCCAGGGGTCTGAGCCTTGTCAACATAGCAAGAACTTTATCTCTAAAAAAGAAAGAAAGAAAGACCACCCCTTTAATCCAATTTCCACTGCTTTTTGAAGAAGCTTTCTCTATTTTCCTTGGATGGAGATTATTTCACCTTGTAACAATGTTGAAGAAGTTACAGTTTTGAAAGAGTTTCCTTTACCTGTTGTCTGATTTAGATTAAAAAAAAAAAAGTTTTCTTCATTTTCATATTTACAAATGAGTTCAATGTGCATTTTAAAACAGTTAATAGCACAAAGGTTTTGTGTTAGTAATTGCTTGTGTTTCTGTTAGTAAAATTTGTGTTTCTATTAAAGCTTTTGAAGGATGTTTTTAAGCATTGTTTGTTATTTTGTATACTGTGGTGTTTTGCTTTGTTTTATTTTGAATTTGGTGCCAAAAGTGAGCAATTCATTGTAGTTTTACAAAAGAGGAAACAGAATCATAAAATGTTTAAGTGGATTTCCTATATGTCCACACACATAATCACATGTGAGTTATAGCACATAGGTAATTATTACAATGGTAATGAGCCTGTGGAAAATAGAGAATAAAGAGAGAAAACAGAAAGTGTTTCTAACCCCACTCAGAAAAAGATGACATTAACCTTTTGGTATACATCATTATAGTCTTATTTTATGGGTATTTATTTAAAACCTTAACAAAGAATGTAAACAGTACTTCTTTGTATTGTGTTTCATAATCATCCTATATTTTAAATGCAAATCTCTTGCTGTCAAGGGACTAAAAATCAGGTCATTTGGTGAGAGGCACCTATTTCCTTCATTGCTATACTAAGAAAGAAAACAACTAAACATAAGAATTTGGTAGAAGAACTCTGACCCAAACAGGCAGTCTACACTCAAACCATTCCAGGGTGACCCAGCTCTGACCTGCATTGCTTTAGCGCCGTAGTCGGTCATCACATGAATCTGTTTCATGAGTTGAAGTTTGCTCCACTTTCCAAAAGCATAAAGTTCTAGGAAGATTTATGTAACAGATAATTCTAACCAACAAAAATGCAGATTTCTCACAAAAAGATACTACTGCTAGTTCTTTCATTCCAGAAGATGCTAAAATGTCATTTTGGTATGGTACAGACCAGCAGCCCCAAATAAAAGATTCAACAATTTCCAAGAATAGTTGAGGCCCAGGGACAGTGGTATACCTAACATGGTTATATGCGTAATCTCATATAATCTTTACGGCAACTTTTTCACATGGGTATTATAATTATCACCCTCATTTTATGGATGAGGACGTGGAGGCCCAATAGAGTTAAGTAACTTGCCCAGGGTTAGATAACTGTTCATTGTTTTTGTTCTAAATCTAATGTGCGTTCTACCACTCCACAGCTGCTTTAAAAACTGTAAGGGCAAAAAGGACAAATCTAAAATCATTGTCATTCGACACAATAACTATTTCTAAAAAGAATTAGACCTCTTCCTTATATTGTACTTTAAAATATCTCACATTTGTCAATAAAAATTTGACTGCAAGGAAAGTTTTGAGGTATGTATCCAAAACCATCATAAAATTAAAAGACACGCTACAAAAACAATAGGTTAATATTGTTAAGAAAGTTCTTAGGCTTAACTTAGAATAAGAAAATGAGCAACGGTTTGAAGGGCAGTGGTTTCTACTTGTAATCCTAGCATTCTGGGAGCCCATGGCAGAAGGATCTCTTGCTTGAGATCAGGAATTTAAGATCATCCTGAGCAAGAGCAAGACCTTGACTCAAAAAAAAAAAAAAAAAAAAAAAATTAGCTGGGTATGGCAGCCCAGCCTGTGGTCTCTGGTATCCATGAAGCTGAGGGAGGAGGATCACTTGAGCTTGGAGTTTGAGGTTATAGTCAGCTAGGATGACACCATTGGCCTCCAGCCAGGCAACAGAGCAAGACCCTGTCTCAAAAAAATAAAAAGTAAAAGAACACAGAAAATGAGCAAAGGATATAAGCTGACAATTAACAAAAGAAAAAAATAAATATAAAATGTCACTAAATATGAATAAGTATTCAGTCTCAGGAGTAATAAAACGAAAATGAATGACACTCAGATGCCATTTTTCACTGACAAACCAGTACAGTTTGTTTTGTTTTCTTAAATGATGCTGTATCACACACTAATATAAGAAATGACACCTGATAACAAACTTTTCAGAAAGCAATTTGCCAATATGGGTCAAAAGGTAGCCTAGCAATCCCCTATCAAAGAACTTATTTTACGCAAAGATATATATTGAAGGACCATGATATTGTTTAATTACAGAAAGAATTTCAAAATAAATATTGAGCAATAAAGAGATAATCCAAAAAACCGTGATGCATCTCACAGCCATTACAATTTATATTTTTATTTTCTTCTATATGCTCTTATATAAAACTCAAATTGTCTTCAGTGAACATGCATTATTATTTTACTCAGGGGAAAAACCCATGATTCTGGAGATATCATTAGCCAAATTTATTACCTGTCTTCAGGTTTGTGCTAGACTGTGTGATATGATCTATGTAAGAATTAATGCTACTGTTCATTAAGCATTTACTCTGAAAGCTCTTTGTGCTGTGTGCGTTGCATATTTTATCATTCAAGCCTCACAACAACTCTGTTACACAGATACTATCTGTGGTCAGCACTTCGGAGTTTCAATAAAATCTGGTGCACCATATTAAAAATAAGAGAATAAGATTGCCTTCTGAGAGTTAAAGTTAGACAGAACGAATCAGAAAAGAAATATGAAAAGTTACCTGCAAGCAACTGACTTTCTTCCGGGCCCAACAGACTAGGTGTCAGAACACAGCTTGAAGGAATCCACAGTGCTAGTGAGCTAGGGGAGGGCAGAGAAAAGGTTGACGGAGGCAAGTGTGGGACACACCCACCCAAGAGCCTCCATTCAGGCGCTCCCAGAGTTTCCAGTCCCGCTGGCTGCTAGAGCTCTTCAGGCTTTTGTCAGCTGAGGAAGCAGACCCCAGCTGGGCGAGGGGCCAGATGTGATCAAGAGCATCCATTCTGGAGGTGGCTTCCTTGGGACATCCCGGGCAGTGCCATTCAATGCTAGGCCCTCTACCTCCCTGTTGTGAAGCCCGGGGATTCATCAGATTCTGCCCTGCTTTCCACGAAAGGCTCCTGACAGGCACAAAGTGTTTGCCCTCACAGACACCAGCATTCCGGTCCCAGTGACAGCTTCATTACTCAGTGTAAAAAAACCCTGTAATCGTTCTGATTTATAAACAGTCTATTCTCATTATTCACGGTGGTCATGTTAGCTGTATAGTGCACTATCACTCATGCCTGAACGAGGCTTATCTCACACACAGACTTTCTCCGTAAGACACATCGGGGCCTTCTTGTACTCAGGTCACTAAACAGCATTTCAGCATTATGCTTGGGGGCCATTTTAAACCGTGAAATTACCAATGAAAAGCGCACAAAAGAAAAGAACATGGCGCTAAATAGATCCTGACAAGGACACATGCTTCCAGGAGAAGAGGAGAGACAAGAAGGCAGAGCCTCACCTTGTTGACCTCAGCTGGGAATGTGCACAGAGGGAGACATGTTTGTGTTTGGTTTTTGCCTTCGTGCGAGTGCATGGGTGACTGAGGAAACACTGCAAGTATTGATTTCGGGCTTACAAATAAATTCTAGGGAGTAGATGAATTCAAGAATACAGAATCTATGAACAATGAGGATTGACTGTATACCTCAGGCAGATGAACTTGAACTAGAGCCTGGCCCTGGGAGATGCACCTTCAAGGGCCGACCGGCAGAGCTGAAGCCCAGGCCCTGCCTGTGCTCCTCCAGTGTCAACTGGCTCTTCCCCAGGTAGCACCCCACACCCTCACTGGGTGCTGCTCCTTTTGTACTTCTACACCAATGGCTCCCAAACTTTAGCCTACATCCACAGGCTTGGCACAGCACAGGTTGCTGAGCCCACACCCAAGGAGCACTCCAGATTTTGCATTTCTAGCAATTTCCCAGGTGAGGCTCATGCTGTTAGTCTAGGGACCTCACTTTGAGCACCTCTGCTCTACGTTATGATCCTCGGTTTAAAACCCTAAAGCTCAGAAGTTTTGAGTAACTTGCCCAAAGTTACATGCACAGCTAGTAACTATCTTTCCAATAAGATGTGGACTGAATTCATGATCAGCCCTTTCTGTCTGACAATGGTACCTTTGGTGAAGATTCTCTCCTAACATGGCATTTTTAAGCAGTAGTTTCATCCCTGTGCTGGCCCACAGCAGTGGTTTCAATCACAGTCAAATTGGACTTTAGAACCAAGAGCCCTTTAAAGCCCTTGGCAGGCAATGCTGGGAATGCAGGAGGAAGCAGAGGAGGAAAAAGACTAGTCCTCGCTGGTCTTGCTCCAGAGTGACTCATACTTGATGGCAGCTTGAGCTGATATGAATACAAAAGAATTGTCATCACGTAAACTTAAGGGTGAGCTTTGGTTGGAAAGCAAGAGAAGGTTGTGATTATACATATACACACACACATACACAGAGAGGAGGTGAGAGTCTGATCATTTGATTATCTGTTATCTGAGTTTGAGCCAGAACAAGACACATAATAACCTCTAAATAAATGTTAGATGATACGGTCACCATGGAGGGTGGAGTAGAAGATGATAACAGCAGCCTCAACAGTGAGATTCACAGCCAGGTTATAGTCAGGTGCTCTACAAAAATTAATCTTCATTTAAGGAAATGTTGCCAGGATATCATATCTACTAATTGTGAGTTGCATCGTATTTCATCAAGAACATTTTTGCATCTTACCTTTGCAGTAGTATTCCGTATTCCTGCTTGCCGACATTTGGATTCAAACACATTTTGCCCTTGACGAATGATGCCGAAAGGTTCAATGAAATTGTGAAGAATCAGAAAATTTCTGCTAATATAGACACACCTGAAGGTGGATTTGATGCAATTATGCAAGCGGCTGTGTGCAAGGTACTGGTGAGGGGAGTGGTGTTGCAGTCTGCTAACCAAATTTCATCTCTTATTAACAAATCTACTTGGAAACCTGAGCTAATGTTCTTTCCTTTAGATGCTGTATTTCTTAAAGCACAAAATTTTTGCAACCTTTTTGATTAAATTACATTGAAATGCAGAATGCTTTTATGCCTACTCAATAATCTAAGAAAATTATTGTTATATGTATCGGGAAAATTTAGTTGAAACAATGTACATGATTGATTTTCAAAGACCAAGATCAGTTTAATTAGCTTTTGGATTAGCCATGGTGGAAAAAAAAGTCAAAGGTAAGAACGTTAATGAAAAAAGTACAAATGTCCTGAATCAGAATATACCAATACACAGGATTACGTACCTCTTGTTTTGAACCAACAAAGGAAGCATCAGAAGTTACACTGCCTCTACGACATTGCAGAAACATTGCTCTTCCTTGACTATCTGACAATTGCCTTGACTATCAGAATGATTGCCTTGTCTTTAGGCAATAGCCCTTCATGGAAAATACACGTACCAAGAAATGAACAGTGCTGAGGCTTCTAGAAGGTAGGAGGGCCAAGGAATTAGAAGAGAAAGGAAAGGGGGAAGGTGGGATAGAGCAGCCAGGATGCGTTTTTCCACAGACAGTCTAATTAGCAGGACATTGGGGCCCTACCTTAATAAGTAATTCTTATCTTTGTATTAGGTTTATAATTTTTGAATAATATCATCAGAAAGAGGAATATGTGCCTAAATGTTGAGTGACATTTAAACGTAACAGGCTTGCTTTGAGTTCATCTTGTATTGCACTTTGACTATTTTCACGTCAGTTTGGATTTGGGATTATCTGTGATCTTCTCTACCTCCTCCTCTCATTTCTCTGATTTAAATTGAAAGCTGGACAATTGAACAGTAACTAATTATATAGAAGAGCTATTTTTCTAAAGCATAAATCCTTTGACGATGTTATCCAGAAAAAAAGCAAATGTCACAGAATTTCATGCTTTTAAAATATTATCAACTCACAGTAGATGAAAAAGACTAAAATAGATAGAATAGCAATACATTGTTTCTATCTGAATGTGTCCAAGCATAATTGATCCACACTCAATAAATACCTACCTCTCTCCAATACAATATGGATGTTTCTTTCTCATTGTAGGAAAAAATTGGCTGGCGGAACGATTCCCTTCACCTCCTGGTCTTTGTGAGTGATGCCGATTCTCATTTTGGAATGGACAGCAGACTGGCAGGCATCGTCATTCCTAACGATGGGCTCTGTCACTTGGACAGCAAGAACGAATACTCCATGTCAACAGTCTTGGTGTGTAACCCACACTCTATGCTGTTTTCAGGGCTATAAGTAGGCAAATGAAGTACCAATTGCAGCACACATTTTCTGATTTGAGATTAACAATTTTCACCCTCTCAATTCTTGCTGTCACAAAAGGTTCCCACAGGACCATAGGTAGACCGTGAGCACATATGGGAAGTTTGGATCTGCCATGACACATGTGATCCTAGAATCTCCCCCAACTTTTCAAAGAGCCTGGGGCTGCTCATTCTGTTGTTTACCACAGACCCCCCAACGGGGGCCCAGGCCAGAGTAGTAGCCAGTATGGATCATCATGAATGATGGTCCCTAGGTCACACCATGCTTTCAGGGACCATGGGGCTCCATGGGAAACCACTGGTCAGGTATGGCTAGTGTTTATTAAGCTTTGGCTTATTTTCTCCCACTTAAAAAATGCTGATGGCATTCAGCAACAATGACAAAAAAGACACTTGACTTTTCCAAAGCCAGGAAAAATTTTGAGAGCTCTTTTGACATACATGGTCTCCTCCTGTCCTGAACAGAACACTACATATCCACCTGTTTCCCCTGAATAAACTGAGGCTGCCAAGCTGGTGCATAGATTTGTTATTCCCTCTGTCTGGAATGCCCTTCTCTCCTAGGCTGCTGAGAAACTCTTAATTATCCTTTAAAAGCCAGATCAATCACCATTGCCCCCAAAGAGCCTCCTTGACCTTGCTGGGGTGAGAGGCAATCTTCTTTCGCTCTCATACACAGATGTCTTCTTGCGCATCTCTATATGGAAATGTGTTTGCTTTCATCTATCTGTCTTTCTCTATTGTGTAATCGTCAGAGCCAGGATGGGTTTATTATCTCTGCTTCTGGAGAGCACAGTGCCTGGAACACAGTGGGTGGTGACTAACGTATGAAATAAAATTGACTTCTGAAGCAGCAACCTGTCAAGGTCATGTTATCCCCATTTAACACTTGAGAAAATATGGTACAGGGAAATTAATTGCCTTCTTAAGACAACGATGCTGTGGAAGAAATGTATGAGAGAGAGAGTGAGAGAGAAAGAGAAGCTAGAATTCTAATATCAATTGGAAAAACTATTCTCTAAAAACTCTTAACAGTTTCTAAGTTACTCACTGCTGCTCCTCAACCTAAATTACTAATGTAACATGAAAGTTTTCACTAACTTTTGATCAGCAGCATTTCCCAGATGGATATATTTTTTTAATCACAAAATCTGACTGTTCCCGTTACAGTATCAGCGAGGTAGCCACATTTTGTCTTTTAGTTGACGAGGGCAAGAAACTCTGAGAAAAAGATCCCTTTTCCATTTCCTTTTTCTTGCAACTTTTCAAGTGCCTACGATAGACATCTTGAAAGTAGCAAGATACTGGATGCTAACACTACCTGTTGCCTAATGTGACTGTCTCATCTAACAAATGTTCAATTTATTCTTTCCAAATCAGTTGCTACAGAAGCCATGGGACGTCTCCAGGCCTGCCTGCAACATAGCCCTCTTTGAGCACATCTTATAGCCTAAAATTGGTCCAGATTCTTGGGCCACAAAACAATAGGATGTGGTTCTAAACCTTAAACTTAACAATATAGTTGTAGGAATTCAACCAACAGATGTGATTCAAATAGAAACCCACTTTGGCCCACCTAGGAAGGGCTACTACCCTGATGGTACAAGCACAACAGCTGAAGGTGTAGGAACATGTGGAGATAAGGAGGGGCTGGCACTGGAGGGGTTTCAGCTTTAGGATGTGATGTTTTGGGTAGTTGAAAAGCAGAGGAAACTGAGTGTGTACGAGATGTATATGATTTGCTGTCTCTACTAATAAAAATCCAAAAAGTGCATATTACATAGCTACATTTGCCACTGTGCAATTTTTCAGAGTATTAATTTGTTTCTCTTTCTAAAAATTTCACATTAATATGAGGGCACAATGATTAAGTTCATTGTTTGCATTTCAAGCTGCAAGGTAAAGTTCAAGCTGCATTTTTGTTCCACTGATACATTCATTTCCAAGTACTTCAAAAAAAATAAAAGAAGTCATTAAGTATGAAATTTGAAGATGGACTTTACTCAGAGGGTGTGCTGTATACCCCTTACATTGTGCACCTTAGGTGAGAGCTTACCAGTCACCCCCCTCCTCCGCCTTCCCCCTCCTATTTGAATTTAGCTGTGTTATTTTCTATTGCAGAGTATTTGGGGCAAAATTCCACTATCTCTCAACTCAAACCTTATCCCCAAAGACTTTAGATGAAAGTATAGTGCAGAGACTCCATGAACATCCTGCATTAGTGTAGAGGAGGATTTAGTCCCCAGGGTTCTTCTGTTCTGGCTGACTTCCCTTCCGCCAGGACAGGCATGGCCTTAGTTTAATTGTTTGCAGGCTACTCCCTCATTTGGATTTCCTCTTTGTACATTAGCCACATTTGGATTCACATGACAGCCAAATGTGCTCCATGTTTTCCAGACTTGGAAAGTAAAGTCCATCTTCACATTTGATAAATAGTGACTTCTTTTATTTTTTTTCATTACTCACGTCACTTGGAAATGAATATGTCTATATAACAAAAATACAACTTGTTTTCAGTTGTCCTGCAAAAATATTGCCAGATCCCTTACAACAGATCGTTGACATTAAAGAGGTAATAAAATCAAACCAAGAACTGGCACAGGACTGCTACAGTGTGTCATTCCTCAGCTCACTGTCCCCTTCTCAACTTCTCCAGTTCCAATGAGAGTTTCAGAGCTACAGGAGTCCCCCACATACATCCTAATCTAACTGCCACCCCCTTCCCTCTCGACCACTCTCTGCGTGCTGGTGAGTACCTGAGAAGTGACAGAACCCCCTGTACCACATTGACAGGAATTGACCCTTAGGATTTCATTAGACTTACAAGATTTTAGAAAAAAAAGTATTAAACCAAGTAAATGAATAAAGCTGACAGTGTACTTTTTTACTTAGAGTGATAGATACAATAATGCCTGTGAGCGCTGAAGGGCCAAATTTAGGAAGATATCTCTTAAAAAAAGTAGAATTAAAAAATAAAATAAAGAAAAAAATTTTTAAAGATATATTTAAAAATAAATATACCTTTATTTTATATTCTTTTCTTAAAGTGACACAAAAATCTATCTGTTACTTTTAGGAATATCCGACAATTGGACAACTCATTGATAAACTGGTGCAAAACAACATGTTATTGATCTTTGCAGTAACCCGAGAGCAAGTTCATTTGTATGAGGTAAGCAAACAAAACTGGAGAAATTCCTACAGGGAGCTTGTGTGTCATGAAACTGTAACATTAACTCAGTGTAATGTTAATGTCAGGCATGGTAAGGCCTTTTGATAATCATTAACACATTCCAAATGTACTGGGCACTTGGCAAAGTGCATCCATTTACTGCTTATGGTTTAAATTGTAAACATGAGGTGCAGAGGGAAGCTGGGGGCAGATATGGTGGGCAAGGAAGAAGAGTCACGGAAATAAAAAAGGTAAGTGGGAGGAGAGAACCGGTAAACAGAGGCCTGCCTCCTAAAGGAAAAGTAGCCCCTCTCCCCTTGAACGCTTTCATCTGACAAGTTAACAGAGAAAGGAAAAAAAATCCCGAGAGTGGGAGAAGACTTGACCTTAAATTATTTGACATTTATAAATTAGAAACAGAGTGGGCATGAGACACAAGCTGTTGAGAAATAGAAAATGAAAAGAAAAAAAAAAAAACGTGTTAAATGAGGCCAGAAAATAATTTACCCCTTAAAGTAATTTGAATATGCAGTTCAAGTTTTTGAACTGCAAAAAGAGAACCGTTGCATTAGTTAAGATGATGCATTAGTTAAGTTTATAAGCCCCGGCACAAACTTTCAAACATACAGCATATGCAAACACAAAAGATGTCTAAGGTTTCTTTCCAGCCTCAGAAAAACAATATGCCAAAATGCCATGAACTGAGGTGCTAGCAACTGATCCAGTCCTAATCTGCAGTTTCACAAAGAAGTTGAGTCTTTAGCCTGGACCCTAGAAAATGGAGAGGAATGGTACTCCCTGTGATTTCCAAGCACAAGCATCAAATACCCCTAAATTCAGAGTCTGCTCTCCCATTCCTTTTGAAAAGACTTCGTAACTTGCTTGCTGACTTTACAGGGCTCATGACACTAAGATTATTTCACAGAAGGCTTTGATTAAATGCCACTCACTACTAACGACCGCACGGCCCATGAACTTGCATCAGGTTCTGCAGAAAGGATCCAGGAGGAGATGCTATCTTGCATTTTTAATGAGAGGGGGGTATTGTACTCCCAGGTGAGATTACCTGCTGCTGCCAACCGAGGAAGTCCCTGGCAACCAGGCTCCATACTCGATGCCTTTGTTCTGCTCAGAGACCATGTGGTTCACCTGATCTGAGCATTTTCTTAAGGCTCATTAGTATGTGATATTTGTTTCCAGTGGTTTTAGGTAGTAGAGTTGCAGCTGAGATTTAAAAAATACCCCCAAATACAATAGTGAGTCTATTCTGCCTTTGATCCTCAAGGCTAGAGTGAGAGGACCCCAGAGGTCACGACACCTCCTCCACAGTGGGGCTCTGGTTTAGAAGGGGGAGGGGAGTCAATGAACTTTTCTTCCAAGGGGAGTCTGGGGAACACGATTGATGATCATGAATATAAACTCCCATAACTCACTTTGGTAATAGTCTTTAAGACTCACAACTCATTTATACACCTCCCCAAAACTGCTATTAAAAGGACAGAGGAGGATGAAAAATAACTAGGTAGCAAAACAGAATCTGCTGGATTTAAGCTTGTTGCATCCCTGGTTCCTCTGTTGCAAAGGAAATGATCATTCCCAAGGAAAACGCCAGATTAGAGCCTGGCTCTAATGCACCAGCAGGACATTCATTTTGCCTGCTTTCTAATCTCATTATGGGGCGAATTTATGTTCTGTCATGATCTGTGGTCTTCACCATCCAGGCTCCTCTAAATTCAAAGGGACGTTTTCAGGGACTCCAGGTCAGCAGCCCACTCTCTGACTCTGGTCGTTTCATTATTTTATTTTTATTTTGATGGGCTCATCATTCCATCTGCATTAGCCGGGGTGGACAGCAACCCTAATGACAGCAATGTTGCACCTCCCTGAAACCTTCACCCAGCATGAAAATGCTGATCTCCTGTTTTATTGGCAATGAACACTGAAATAGACCAATAATGGCTTGTGTTGCCTTTCACTTTAAATCTCCGGGAAAAGGAAATCTATGTGTGCCGGAGTCCCATGCAATCTGATGTTTGGAGAGCGGTGCTGTAAGGAATGAAGAATCACTGAAAAATAAAACCAGTGATAAGACAAATAAAGCAATTAAGTGGTTAGATTTAATGGAAATTCTGGAAGGAAAATTATTTGTCGGGTTACGTGTTAGGCATAGTTATATGTCTACATGGGAGGCAGAGCATGGGTTAGATTCAATGAAAACCCTGTCTACAGCAAATAAGATTTATGTGGCCCACTCACGGAATGCAGGAAAAATGACTGTTTTTTCAGTAACTTTTTGTAAGATGCTTTAGACTGCCCAGGTATGTAGTGTGTTTGTACTTGGTTCTAACAGAGCAGAACAAACCATGGAAAGCAGAAAGTAAGCAGTTTTGCCTTCAGTTCAATGTGACTGCAGTGTGCACCCCGGACTCTCCCAAACAGATGATTTTGAACAAACTTATTATTAGGAATAGCTTCCTGTTTGTCCAATTATAGGGTTCAAAAGATAATGATAGATAATAGACTGAACAGTAGGTAGGATATTACATTCTAGGGCTAAATACTGTTTTGAATCAGGATTCAATTACCCAAGTCAAAAAAAAAAATGTAATATCTCCTCTGTCGTTTTTAAATGTTTACTGCTAACTTACATGAAGATTGTATCAATCTACTAAACCTTAACTGTGTAATGTGACGAGCTTTACCTGCCTAGTGAGACAATGAGATGGAAAGCAATTCAATAAGTGCTCTTTGCTACCTTGTCAAATTATATTATAGACTCACGTGGGGTTACTTGCAAGCCTTTGAAATAGCCTATACCTTTACAAAATGTCTGCATCTGTCTGGAAAAGGAGACATTAGTGAAGTTAACAGCAACACTTATCGTATGAACTGGTATGATGATGTAATGCCGAAACAGACAGAAAGTAAACAAGAAGTACACACGGAAACAGACACTCTCAGTTTACTCACTACTGAATATATGACGACTACTTAATTTTCCTGCCATTATTAGGACAAAGTGACTTATCTAAAGCATGGAGACAGGAAGTACAAACAGGCTTTTATGCCACCAAAAGGCCCTTTCCTATGGAAACACCAAGTCCTCAACCCTCAGATCTTAGAGGAGAATGGTGGGTCTTGCTCATGTTTCTGGCCCGGGTGTCCAACTGGTGGCCCGTGGGCCACATGTGGATTATGTGAGGACTTTTTGCTTATCTGTGGTGGAAGATACCACAAAAATTACGCACGGAACTTTTTTTTTCTACTCATCAGCTTTCGTTAGTGTTTGTATGTTAAATGTGTGGCCCAAGATGACAATCCTTCTTCCAATGTGCTGCAGGGAAGCCCAAAAGTTGGGCAATCCTGGGGACCAATTCTCCATATACAGTAGATTCTCAGTAAATATTTGTCAAGTGGATAAAGAAGTACAAAAAAATACAATAAAAGCACCTCATTTTTTCTAAAATTGGGTCAAATGTTCTAAATAGGGACTTGGAGTTTCCCATAACCAATACTTGTCAAGGCTGAGAAAACCCAGGCGCACAGGGCAGGTGGCAGCACTACCCACTGCCAGGACCTGCTAAGATCCTCTGCAGTCCTGGCTGTCCATTTTTCTACCTCTTTGCCGTGGATAAAGATGGCACTAGAGAAAAAAATGCTCTGCCATCGTCTTAGGACCAACGTGGTGGAAACGCTCCCCTGCCTCCTTACCAGGTGTGAAACGAAAGCCCTGAGCAGGAATCTACCCGATGTCCCTCAGAGCCGTAAATACTTGCAAAGAGGAGCCACAATATGCTATGAGCCTGATGTTCTTGGGGGGCTCATGAAATTATCTGCCACACACAAGTTTCCATTTTCAGGAACCAATAACCCAGTAAGTTTTGATTTCACCTCTTCTTTCTTCTACTTGGTCTCTTGAATTTGTCATTGTAGCAAAGGAGGAAAGAAGCAGAGAAAATGGGGAGGGAGATAACCCCCAAATCGGACCTCTTTGCTGTTGGTTATTGTTCTGTTTTATAATGTTCCTGTTGGAGAAAATCGAAACAACTTTGCTCCAGTGGAAATCCCTTTATCTCTCTAGCCTCAGTTTTAATTTTTTTTAATTTCACAAAAGGAATATTTTTTAGTTTTTTCATGTGTGAACATTTTATTAATTTTTTTATTAAATCATAACTGTACATTAATGCATTTATGGGGTACAATGTGCAGATTTTATGTACAATTTGGAACGCTTACATCAAACTGGTTAACACAGCCTTGACCTCACTTGCTTGATTGTTGTGTTAAGACATTTATACTCACCTGTGGTGCATATTGCAAGAGTGCATGTAAAATCTGTTACGAGTAGAGTGTAAGTAGCCTCAGTTTTTAGAAAACAAAAAAGGGCTGGACCCAATGGTGAGCAACTTTAACAGTTGGTGACTCCAAGATGGAGAATTTATCATGAATTCCAATGATCTCCATATGGATACCAAAGTTTAGTTAGCTGTAATTTTACAGAATGGTCTAAAAAGTTGTTTTTGATTCTATCAATCCCATCCCGTAATTGGGTATTCCAAGCTGTGATTTCAGTACAAATAAAATCATCTAGGAGTAAAAAGACAACTTCTGGATTATGAGACACCTCCATGGAGTCAATAAATTGCTCTTTATTTAAGTATAAAGGAAAGGATTTTAATTTCTCCTTAGTTGATCGTATCTGGGAACAAAGACCGAGGAGAACCAGCTGCCTACACTTTCCCCATTAATGAAAACCTCCCTCAGAGAGGAGAGAGGGAGGATTTGGAAATAAGATTCATGTCTTCAGATTATCAGGCAAAGCTGTTAGGAGCATTTGTAGGGTAATTAATAAATCCTAACCATGAAAAAAAATCATTAGCTACTCCTTAAATCACACACAGTACTTTTCTTCTAAAGAATTCAAAACCTCACAATCTAGAAAATAAACACAGAGGATGACCTGTGGTACAGATTTAAAGTAGGGGGCTCAATGAGATGTC